AAATTCATGGGACACATTGAAAGCAGTGCTCAGAGGAAAATTTATAGCAATAAGTGTCTACGAGAAGAAATCTGTAACATCACATACAAACAACTTAATGGCCCAACTGAAAAACCTAGAAAAAAAAAGAAACAGATACACCCAAGAGGAGAAGACGGCTGGAAAAAATCAAACTAAGGGTGGAAATCAATCAATTAGAAACAAATAAAATTATCCAAAGAATCAATGAAACAAAAAGCTGGTTCTTTGAGAAAATCAATAAGATAGACATACCCTTAGCCAAACTAACTAAAAAGCAGAGAGAAACTATCCAAATCAGCAAAATCAGAAAGGAAAATGGGGACATAACTACAGACACTGAGGAAACCCAAACGATTGTTAGGTCATACTACAAAAGCCTATATGGCACAAAATTTGAAAATCTAAATGAAATGGATAACTTTCTTGACAGATTCCATCTACCAAAATTAAGTCAAGATCAGGTAGAAAGACTGAATAGCCCTATATCTCCCAAGGAAATTGAAGCAGTCATTAACAGTCTCCCCTCCAAAAAAAGCCCTGGACCAGATGGCTTCAGCGCAGAATTCTACAAGACCTTCAAAGAAGTACTAACACCAATTCTCCTCAAACTATTCCACAAAATAGAAATAGAAGGAACACTACCAAACTCATTCTATGAAGCCATAGTCACCTTGATACCTAAACCACACAAAGATCCAACAAAAAAAGAGAACTTCAGACCTATCTCTCTTATGAACATTGATGCAAAAATACTCAATAAAATACTTGCAAACCGAATCCAAGAACACATCAAAGATATCATCCACCATGACCAAGTAGGCTTCATCCCAGGAATGCAAGGGTGGTTCAACATACGGAAATCTATAAATGTAATCCACCACATAAACAAACTGAAGGACAAAAACCACATGATCATCTCCTTAGATGCTGTAAAAGCATTTGACAAAGTCCAACACCCATTTATGTTTAAAGTCTTGGAGAGATCAGGGATACAAGGCACATACCTAAAGATAGTAAAGGCAATATACAGCAAGCCTATAGCCAACATCAAACTCAATGGAGAGAAACTTAAATCAATCCCACTGAAATCAGGGACAAGACAAGGCTGCCCACTCTCTCCATATCTCTTCAACATTGTACTTGAAGTCCTAGCCAGAGCAATAAGACAACTAAAGGAAATCAAGGGGATACAAATCGGAAAGGAAGAGGTCAAAGTGTCACTTTTTGCAGATGATATGATAGTATACATGAGCGACCCCAAAGATTCAACCAGAGAACTTCTTCAGCTGATAAACACCTTCAGCAAAGTGGCAGGATACAAAATCAAATCAAAAAAATCAGAAGCCCTCTTGTATACCAAAGACAAAAAGGCTGAGAAAGAAATTAGAGAAACAACACCCTTCACAATAGCCACTAATAACATAAAGTACCTTGGTGTGACTCTAACAAAGCAAGTGAAAGACCTGTTTGAGAAAAACTTCAAGTCTTTGAAGAAAGAAATTGAAGAAGATCTCAGAAGATGGAAAGATCTCCCGTGCTCATGGATTGGTAGGATTAACATTGTGAAAATGGCCATCCTGCCAAAAGCAATCTACAGATTCAATGCAATTCCCATCAAAATACCAACTCAATTCTTTACAGACCTTGAAAAAAAGATTCTCAGCTTCATATGGAGAAACAAAACACCCAGAATCTCCAAAACAATCCTGTACAACAACAGATCATCTGGAGGTATCTCCATTCCCGATCTCAAGCTGTACTACAGGGCAACAGTAATAAAAACTGCATGGTATTGCCATAGAAAAAGAAAGGAGGATCAATGGAACCACATAGAAGACCCAGAAATAAACCCACACACCTATGAATACTCAATATTTGACAAAGAAGCCAAATCCATTCAATGGAAAAAAGACAGCATCTTCAACAAATGGTGCTGGACCAACTGGATGTCTACATGCAGAAAAATGAAAATAGATCCATATTTATCACCCTGCACAAAACTAAAGTCCAAGTGGATCAAGGACCTCAACATAAAACCAGATACTCTAAATCAGCTGGAAAAAAAAGTGGGAAACAGCCTAGAACTCATTGGCACAGGAGACAACTTCCTGAACAGAACACCAACAGCACAGGCTCTAAGAGCAACAATCAATAAATGGGACCTCATGAAACTGAAAAGCTTCTGTAAAGCAAAAGACACTGTCATCAAAACAAATAGACAGCCTACAGATTGGGAAAGAATCTTCACCAACCCTTTATCTGACAGAGGGCTAATATCCAGTATATATAAAGAACTAAAGAAGCAGAAAAGCAACAAACCAAGTAATCCACTTAAAAAATGGGGAACAGAGCTAAACAGAGAATTCTCGAAAGAGGAACATCGAATGGCAGAGAAACACTTAAAGAAATGCTCAACCTCATTAGCCATTAGGGAAATGCAAATCAAAACGACCCTGAGATTTCACCTTACACCCATCAGAATGGCCAAGATGAAAAACTCAAGTGATAGCACATGCTGGAGAGGTTGTGGAGAAAAGGGAACCCTCCTCCATTGCTGGTGGGAATGTAAACTGGTTCAACCATTTTGGAAGTCAATCTGGCGCTTTCTCAGACAACTAGGAGTAGTGCTACCTCAAGACCCAGCTATACCACTCCTAGGTATATACCCAAAATTTGCTCAAGTACACAAGGACATTTGTTCAACCATGTTCGTAGCAGCTTTATTTGTAATAGCCAGAACTTGGAAACAACCCAGATGTCCATCAATGAAGGAATGGATACAGAAATTGTGGTATTTTTACACAATGGAATACTACTCAGCAATCAAAAAGGAGGAAATCATGAAATTTGCAGGCAAGTGGTGGGATCTAGAAAAGATCATTCTGAGTGAAGTATCCCAGAAGGAGAAAGACAAACTTGGTATATACTCGCTTATATAGACCTACAAGATATGATAAATATAATGAAATCTACACACCTAAAGAAGATAATCAAGAAAGTGGACACAGTCGAAGGTGATTAATCCTCATTTAGAAAGACAAATGGGATGTGCATTGAACTTATGACAGGAGTCTACCACAAAAGGCATCTGAAAGACTCTACCTAGCAGTGTTTCAGAGCAGACACTAATACTCATAACCAAACCCTCGGCAGAGTGCAGGGAATCATATGAAAGAAGGGAAGTTAGTATGATATGGAAAGGATAGGAGCTCTACAAGGACCAAATATATCCGGGCACAGGGTCTTTTCTGAGACTGACACTCAACCTAGGACCATCTATGGATATAACCTAGAACTTCTGCTCGGTCGTGGCCCGTGGTAGCTCAGTAACCAAGTAGTTTTCCAAAGTAAGGGGAACACGGACTATTTCTAACAGGATCTCAAGGGCAGGCTGTTTGACCCCCCTCCCAGGGGAGGAGCAGACTGTTAGGCCACAGAGGAGGACTTTGCAGCCAGCCCTGAAGATACCTGATAAAACAGGGTCAAATGAAAGGGGAGGAGGTCCTCCCCTATCAGTGGACTTGGAAAGGGGCAGGGAGGAGACCAGGGAGGGAGTGTGGTGTTGGGGAGGGAATGAGGGAGTGGGATACAGCTGGGACACAGAGTTAACAAAATGTAACCAAAAAGAAAAATAATATTAAAAAAAAAACAAAGCCCAAAAGAAAAAAAAAGAATGTGAAGTAATAAAAATGAAATATGATGGCAAAAGAGGGTGTAGAACATAGTAAGAAATTTAATGTCAAATATACTAAAAACATGTATTAGACATACAGGGTATTGAGGAACACAACTTAAAAGAACTAGAAACTTCAACTTGGGAGTTTGCACAGAAAGTATATTAAAGCCAAAGGAATGGATAGATATAGAACAGAATAGAACTAAAAACTTCCCTTTTTATTAGAAAGATGAAGGTGAAAGAGCAGAAGTAAGAAGCAAAATAATACAAACACTGATGGAAGAGACCTCACAGCAGAATATCATGTTCTGGAATTAAAGAGAAAAATAAAAATCTTCCAAGGAGGTGAAAGAAAGTGGCTGTGTCAAATGATTCTGACAGTTCAAGTTAACCAAGAAAAGCCACTGTACTTCAAGTGTAAAGGCCATCAGTGGCTTTAACAAACACACTTTCTTATTACAGCGATAGATATCTTATTGGATTAGTTCAGAAAATAACAGGTATAAAGTGTCTATAGAGACTTATATATAGGTAGCTTATATGAAACGAATTACAGGGAGATGTAAAAAAAACTGGTTAGTGTTTCCTTCTAGATTCTTATATGCCCAAGCCCACTTCTAACTCTCCTTGGTTATATTACTGACACAGTTTCTGTCCACTTCAAATAACACATCACATTTAATCTACAGTCAATTTGGGGGTATTATAATAACAACTTGTTAGATCTTGATAACAGTAGAAAGCATTATATATATGAGTAATAAATTGATGTCTATTTCCCAAACTGTAAAGTACATGAGGCAGAATAAAGGTTGGGTTTGTACAATCTGTGGTAATAAAAGGCACACGAGACTATTTAATGTAGTCTTTCTACCCACAGATCCATATTCTGGTAAATTTAGTTTGAGTTGAACAGTCTGTCTATGCATTATAGATCCAACCTACAGGCTCTGACCTTATGTCAATCAGTTTCTATAGAAAGGTGTGAGTTCCTTAGTACTGGCTTGCATAGGACAGAGTTGATGGTAAGCATGGTAACATAGTAAGCATGAAAATGTATGTGCCCTCAAAGGTATAATTTTCAGTAAATAATGAGACATTCATCAACTGATGTCATATTATATGTAACATGACATGAAATCGAGGCCAAACAAGTCTGTATCTATCTGAAAAAAAGCTAACGACCTCAGTAAAAGAAAATCAGCTTCTATCAACCACTGACCATAAATGAAGTTACAAAACAAAACAAATGTAAACCATTACAATGTTTAATATACACATGAAGATGAAATATTCATTTTACCTTGAAGCTGCAAAGAAGCTAGTGATTTGGTACCCAAAACTGGCATAGTAAGCATGTTCCATGATCGCCATCAACTGAATGCAGTTGTATCCTATATATACAAAACCCAAAGAAAGTCAAAACTACATTTAAAAATGAATAAAAAAATTGCATGTTCTTATTAAAGACATAACTTTAATAAAGAATCTGGAAGGTCTAACTATCGTGCAAAGTGCTATTACTTGACACAATTTACTTTTCTGACTTCATAACACAATCGGACATTTGGCTCTTAGAGTCACTCTCTGCCTAGTCATTTGAAATGCTTTCATTTTAATAAGTGACAAATGATATGCAAATATAAACATATTTTTGCTTTGGAATATTAAACATGGAAATCTGAATATGCTAAGCTTCAGGTTTACTTGTAATATCCATAATGAAGATTATGAGGCTAAATAAAAGTAACTGATTGCATGATATATGCTTTTTACTTTGCCTCTTTTTATTATGATTCTGACATTTTACCATATGGCTTCAGAAATATTTCTAAATTCATTTTTTCCTACAAAGTAGGTCTTTTGAAGCAAGGGGTGATGTCTCTATGAGATTACTTAACAGCAACAAGCATGTTTCATGGGCACATGCAAACACTGGCAAAACACACAGCTTTTCTTTCTCCACCCGAATGTTTTGTTTGTTTGTTTGTTTTCTCGAGTGGTAAATGAAGTCACTCAAAAAGTACAGGTTGTTCTTGAAATATTCAAAACAGGAGTAGAATAAGCCACAAGTAAAACACAAAGAGAAGGGAACCTCTTGAACTTACCAAGAAAATAAAGATACAGAAAAGCTTTATGAAAATAAGTTTGTTTTTTTTTTATTTCCCAAGTACAACTTGATCATTTATCACATATAATCTGGTCTCTTACAAAGTTACATCCCTGCGACACACATACTATACATTCTTAGTATTTTCCTAACGTCCAATTCAAACAAACTTCACAGTGTTCTTAAGGAGCACATAAAAGCAGATTCACTAACAAGTCACTTAAAAATATAACTGAACTTGTGAGAAAACAGAATCCAAATTAATTTCCTTCTCTTCGGTTGTTGCAGCTTCTCATGACTGCATTTTAGCACATTCTCGAATGTTCTCTAATGTTACAAATAAAAATTCAGGACTAGGAAATTACATATTTTCTCTGAGCTTTTCATTGGCATATTGTTAAGGGGGAAAACATCATTCTATCAGCCCTGGCAGAAACATGGTTCTTGAATCTTGCTCAAATGATGGGCATCAATTATCATATATCTCAGAATGAAACTTAGAGTTTTCAGTTAAATCTCCATTATAGAACAAATACTGTTCTTATAGAGCACAGCCTCATATTTCCATAGTTTATTTGAATAGCCCTAATCAGGCCTCCCTTCATGTGTTCTCAGGCAACTCAAACAAGGTTGTAGAGGAGCATCTAGTGCTGCTCAGCCACATATTAAAAGCTGGGTATAAATAATTTATCATTCTATAATAAATGAAAAACTTCTTCAGTGAATAATTGTAACATGATACCTATCCACCAATGCTAACAATAAACTTAATTAATTTTGGTTTCTGAAATTGTAGTTCAAAAATCAAAGATAATTAGGATATATACATAACTGAAAACTTTAACCCTGACTTGCATTTAAATCTCTCCTCTAGCTAAAACCTAAACTCCCTGGCAGAAGTGATATAATTAAATGTACTTTGTCTTCTTGTCTAGCTACTGCAGCAAGTGCCAAATATGCTACAGAATTTTTTATGAACAGCATTACCTATTAAAGAAAAATAACAGATATAATGCCCATTGAAGCAAGTAGTCAGCCAAATGCTATTCATTCTCCTGCTTCTCTGAAGACAGTCTATGTCATGGTAGTCTGATATGTGAACCATCTCACGTCTTTCAAATGTGGTTGAGAAATGTTTGTGAAAAAAGTCATCTAGACAATGACACTATATAATAACTGATCCCAAATGAGTTCCAGACACCTTACAAATACAAGATTTTTCTCCATCAAATACTAAAATGGGCAAACTGTAATCAATGACCACGTCAAATGATAAAGGTTATCTTCTGTAGGAAAGTAATTACACTTGCATATTTATCTACAATTTGGAAGCCATCAGTTCACATTACTTTAAATTGAAATTGGAATAATATCTTATGCTTATGCTCTATCTTATTCCATTTCTCTTTTCTATGCTATCACTATTACAGGGCAATTGGAGAAGCCTAAAATAAAATGCATTTCTATTACATATTTAATCTCTTAACACAAAAAAGAGACACTTGTAATTAGCCTTTTTAATAAGAGAACAGTCTCATTAAAGTTTTATCTGAATAAAAATCACAATTATTACTTACCAAGGTCTTTGATTCTTGGTAGTACATTGCTAGTAAAATGTTTATAAGAGGCTATTTTTCCTTCATGAGAAGAAATTCCCACATGGGATTCATAAATTCTTAGACTCCGTGGTTTCTTAGGTCTGGAATGCTTGAACTACAGAATAAAAAGTTACATATGGAATTCAAGCAAGAATTCAGTTGTGACACTAGTTAATAAAGCATGGGAAGTGAAAGAATAGACAGACTCAGAGAAACACTTGTGACTACTCGCCCATATCAAAGGCAATGGCTGCCTTTGCTGGCATGCACTGCATTTCTTAATCATATACAGGATTGTATTAACAAACAATTGTTTTAAAAATCATAAAAATAACTTTTATATAGCATCACTGGCAGGAAGGATTTTTTCTTTTTTAGATTAAACCTTATTAAAAAGTACAGAGTCTTGAAGGCACATATAATTTAATTGTTTAATACAAATCATTCATTAGCAAGATTGAGTAATATAAAGGCCTGAAAAATTAGTTCTAAAATATGTATGAGTTATGAAACAAAAAAATCCCCTAATACATTTATTACATAGTCTGCCATCCCAATGCTCTTTTCATAACTACACTAATCCATCTATACATCCCTGATAGTAATAAATTTTACATTATTTGAATCTTTATAAGTTGGAAACTATAATACATATATTAATATTCCTTCTAGATATGTATATAGAAATGTACTGTTTTTTACTAACTTCAAAACAAACAGAAAGAAAAAATTATTTCTATGTTTCATTGGCTAGATATGACATACTTTGATATAAGGTGTATAATACAAGAAAACTATCATGCAAAACACTCAACAAGCAGTGAAGAAAAATTGGACACTATTATAAAAGATATGAAAGTAAAAATTAATTTCCCTAGAAATACTGAAATAAGCAATTATTTAAAATCTGTTGTTCTCACTTTATATGAGTCTTCTGGATCCCAGTGTATCCAATCATAATTCACGTTGTTGTTTTCACGGACCACATACTTTGCCCACGGCGAGATGCGATACAGTATCTCACCACTCTTACTGGTGATAACTACCTAAAAAGAAAGCAGGACAACACTGATGTAAAGTGGGTACACGGCACTAACGGAACGCATAACAGCTACCGAGCACTGAACTGCGCAGGGAAGCACAATGAGTTCAGAACTGAGTTCCCAGGTGTGTGATCACAAAATCATATTTTAATTTTTTGCTCATCTGTTATTGTTATGTGATCGTTAAAGTTATTTATACATTGTATATTATATGATCCTCTTCCAGTTTTCACGATTGCAGGCCAACTATTGGAGTAGTTAATTAAACATATTACATATACTAAAGAGACAAGGTTATTTCAAACTTTCTATCATAAAGTCAATCATCCACAGGAAATATTCCTCTTTTTCAGGATACAAATTAAAAAGAAAAAAAGAATTATACAGTCATCACTTCCTTAACTCCTTTGTGAAAATAAGTCATAACAGTTTCAGATGCTGAATAAGTAGAATACTTTAATACTTGACATGTATACATGTACAAACACAATTTTAAGATGTCATCAAATAGAAATAAAATACTATAACCAGTGAATAGTATTCCTCTAAATGGTGGTACTTAACCTTCCTAATGCTGTGACCCTTTAATACAGTTTCGGATATTGTAGTGACCAACCATAAAATTATTTCTTTGCTACTTCATAATTATAATTCTTTCTTCTGTTATGAAGCATAATGTACTATGTGATGTGCACCCCTTGAGGAAAGATCCTTTGACCCTCAAAGGGATCATGCCGCACAGTCTGAGAACCACTGTTAATAAAACTAGCTTTTGGATACTGAGCTGCCATGGCTACGTCTGAGCAGGGTTTCTAGGTTATATCCAGACATGGTCTTTGGTTGGAGAATCAGTCTCAGAAAAGACCCCTGTGCCCAGATATATTTGGTCCTTGTGGAGCTCCTGTTCTCTCCAGGTCTTACTAACTCCCCCTTCTTTTATATGATTCCCTGAGGGAGGAACAGCCTTGCTTGGCCACAGAGGAGGACATTGCAGCCAGTCCTGATAAGACCTGATAAGCTAGGACCTCCCCTATCAGTGGACTTAGGGGCATGGGAGGAGATGAGGGAAGGAGAGTGGGATTGGGAGGGCATGAGGGAGGGGGTACAGCTGGGATACAAGGTAAATAAACTGCAATTAATATAAAAAAATAAAATTTAAAAAAAAAAACAAACAAAAAACTAGCTTTTGTGAGCAAAAGCGGCATTATTTTGCTGATCATTACTTTGCTGACTTTCCAGTACACCGAGACATCATCAGAAGCCACTTAGGTATAACTGTCAGAAGAAGCAGACACATGGTCAGCATCCATGCTCCTACACCTTGTGCTCAGTTACAGAAAGAATGCAATGTTCTTGCTGCTGATGCTAACACAATTTCTCTTGTTTTTATACAATTTTCATTCACTTTACATCCTTGTTGTAACCCCACCCCTTCTTGCCTCCCAGCCCCACCATTCCTCCCTCTCTCTTCCCCTTCCCTTTTCTTCAGAAAAGCAGAGTTCCCTTCTTCATCTACCCCAGCTTACCAAGATGCATCAGGACTGAGCTTGTCTTCTTTCTCTGTGGCCTGGCAAGGCAGCCCCTCCAGGAGGAAGAGATCAAAAAGCTGGCAACTGAGTCCCTGACCCACGCGGTCCCCACTTCCTTTAGTAGAGGACCTACATGAAGCCTAGGCTGCCCATCTGTTACATCTTTGTAAGGGGCCGAGGTCCAGTCCATGCATGGCCCTTGGTTGATTCTTCAGTCTTAGTAAGCCTGTCTGGGCCCTGGTTATTTAGCGCTACTGTTCTTGTTGTGGAGCTCCTGTCACCTCTATGTCCATTTCTCATTCCTCCCACAAGACTTCCTAACCATCCCACAATGTACAGCTGTGAATCTCCACATCCGTTTTGGGGCACTGTAGGGAAGAGCCTCTCAGAGAACAATTCTGTTGGGTTCCTCTCTGCAAGCTTAGCAGAGTATTGTTCATTATATCAGATGATATTCTCTGACAGAGTAGGTCTTTGACTTGGCCAGCCATTAGTTGGGGATTTGCTCAATCTCTGCTCTATCTACTCTCTTTATCCCTGCATATCTTGTAGGCAGGGTTAATTTTGAGCCGAAGCTTTTTTGGGTGGGTTGGTGTTCCCTTCCCTTTGCTAGGAGACTAGTCTAGTTAGAATGTGTCCTCTTCAATCTCTATGGCCTCTGCTACTAGAAGTCTCTGCTTGAGTCCCCCTCATATCCTCCCAGGAGCCTTCCCTGACTTAGGTCTCCAGTTGTCACTGAGAGAAACCCACTCTGAGTTTCTCTTTTCTCTACATGTCTTCTGCCCTTACACCCTCATTCTCCCCAGGTCTGATCTCTACCCTCTTAACCTTCTGGGGCCCTTCTCCTACCTTATTCCCTCCCTTTAGCCACAACACCTGTCTATTCTACATACCTTTCTGAATGAGATATATGCATTCTCCCTTAGATACTCTGTTACTTATCTTCTTTGGGTCTGTACTGCTTAGTAGATTTATCCTGTACTACATGTCTAAAATCCACATAAGTACGTACATACCATGTGTGTCTTTCAGGGTCATGTGTGCTGTACCCCACTCAGGATCATCTTTTTTGTTCCAACCATTTGCTTGCAAATTTCATTTCTTTGTTTTTAATAGCTGAGTAGTGTTCCATTGTGTAAATGCACCACAGTTTCTTTATGCATTCTTTGGTTGAGGGATATCTAGGTTGATCCCAATTCTGGCTATTATGAATAAAGCTTCTATGAACATAGTTGAGCAAGTGTCTTTGTTGTGTGGTGGAGCACCTTTTGGATATATACCCAAAGAAGTTTAGCTGGGTCTTCAGGTAAAGCTATTCCCAAAGTGCCAGACTGATTTCCAAAGTGGTTGTACAACCTTCCACCAGCAATGGAGGTGGGTTCCCCTTTCTCCACAACCTCACTAGCAAGTGCTGTAGCTTGAGATTTTGATGTTAGCTATTCTGACCTGTGTGAGATAGAATCTCAGAGTTCTTTTAATTTACATTTCCCTGATGAATAAGGAAGTTCAGCATCTCTTTAAGTGCTTTTTGGCCATCGGAGATTCCTCTGTTGAGAATTCTTTGTTAAGGTCTGTGTCCCATTTTTTAATTGGTTGCTTATTGGTGCTTGATTTCTTGAGTTCATTATTTATTTTGGATATTAGCCCTTTGTCGGATATAGGATTGGTGAAGATCTTTTCCCAATCTGTAGACTGTTTTTTCATTCTAGTGGGTGTCCTTTGCCTAACAAAAGTATTTCAGTTTCAAGAGGTTCCATTTATTAATTATTGATCTCAGAGCCTGAGCTGTTAGTACTCAGTTCAGGAAGTTGTGTTCTGTATCAATGAGTTTGAGGCTCTTCCCCACTTTCTCTTCTAATGGATTTAGTGTATCTGGTGTTATATTGAGGTCTTTGATCAACTTGGATTTGAGTTTTGTATAGGGAGATAAATATGGATCTATTCACAATTTTCTACATATAGACATCCAGTAAGACCAGCACCATTTGTTAAAGAAACTGTCTTCTTTCCATTGCATGGTTTTGGACGCCTTTGTCAAAACTCAAGTGACCATGGGTACATGAGATTATTTCTGAGTTTTTGATTTGATTCCATTGATCAACCAGTCTATTTCTATGTCAGTACCATACAGTTTTTATTACTGTTGTACTGTAGTATAGCTTAAAGTCAGAGATAAAGATACCTCCAAAAGTCCTTTTATTGTAGAGGATTGTTTTAGTTATTCTGGGTTTTTCATTTTTTCATAAGAAGTTTAGAATTGTTCATTAAAGGTCTGTAAAGAATTATGTTGGTATCTTGATGGGGATTTCATTGAATCGGTAGATTGTTTTTGCTAAGATGGCTATTTCTACTATGTTAATCCTACCGATACACAAGCATGGGACATCTTTCCATCCTCTGAAATCTTTTTTAATTTCTTGCTTCAGAGACTTGATGTTCTTGTCAAACAGGTCTCTCAATTTCTTGGTTAGAATTACACCAAGATATTTATATTATTTGTGGCTACTGTAAAGGATATAGTTTTCATAATTGCTTGCTCAGCCCATTTGTTGTTTGTGTACACAAGGGCTACTGATTTTTCTGAATTAATCTTGTATCTAGCCACTTTGCTAAAGTTGTTTATCAGCTTTTGGTGTTCTCTGGTGGAATTTTTAAGGTTGCTTATTTACACTATCATATCATCGGCAAATAGTGATACATTGACTTCTTCCTTCCCAATTTATATCCCCTTGATTCCTTTAATTGTCTTATTGCTCTAGCTAGACCTTGAAGTACTATATTTTAGAGGCATTGAGAGAGTGGGCAACCTTGTCTTGTCCCTGATTTTAGAAAAACTGCTTTGAGTTTCTCTCCATTTATCTTAATGTTGGCAAATGGCTTGCTGTATATAGCCTTCATTATGTTTATGTATGAGACTTGTATCCCTGATCTCTTCAAGACTCTAATCATGAAGGGTGCTGGCTTTTGTCCAAGGCTTCTTCTGCATTTAAGATGACTTTTTTTTCCTTTGAGTTTGTTTATGTAGTGAATTATGTTAATGGGTTTTCATATGTTGAACCATCCCTGCATCCCTAGAATGAAGCCTACTTAATCATGGTGGATGATGTATTTAATGTGTCTTTGGATTCAGGTTCCAAGTATTTTATTGAGGTTTTTTTGTTTGTTTGTTTGTTGAGTTTTGTTTTGTTTTTTTGTATTGATGTTCATAAGTGAAACTGATCTGAAATTCTTTCTTTGTGTGGTTTAGGTATCAGGGTGACTGTGGCTGCATAGCATGAGTTTGCCAAAGTTCCTTTAGTTTCAATTTTGTAGAAAACTTTGAGGAGTATTAGTATTAGTTATTCTTTGAATGGGTGCTACAACCATCTGGACTAAGGCTTTTTTTGATGACTGGTTCTACTTCCTTGGGGGTTATAGGACTGTCTAAACTCTTTACCTGATCTAGATCTAGCTTTGGTAGATAAAATCTATTGA